AGCCATTCTGTTTGCAGACAACGTGAACTTTAAACCAACAATGACCATAAAGGACAAAGAAGGTCACTACATACTCGTAAGGGGAAAACTCCAAGAGGAAGAGATAACTATCTTAAATAGATACGCACCAAACTCCAGAGCACCCAGTTATATAAAACAATTATTAACAGAAATGAAAACTCAAATTATCAGTAACACAATTGTAACAGGAGACCTTAATACACCACTGACACCAAGGGACAGATCAACCAGACAGAAAATGAGCAAAGAAATAACAGAACTGAATCACACCTGTGAACAAATGGGTTTGATAGACATATACAGAATGTTCCACCCAACAACATCAGAATACACATTCTTCTCAGCAGTACATGGATCATTTTCTAAAATAGACCATATATTAGCTCACAGAACATATTTAAGCAAATGCAAAAGAGTTGAAATCATCCCTTGCATATTATCGGATCATAGCGCTCTGAAATTAGAAATTAATGACAAAGGATACTGCAAAAATTCCGCAAACACATGGAAACTAAATAACACACTCTTGAGTAATCAGTGGGTCACAGAAGAAATTAAACAATACCTAAAAGAAAATGAAAATGCAGATACAACTTACCGGAATCTGTGGGATGCAATGAAAGCCGTTCTGAGAGGAAAATTTATTGCACTGAGTACCCACATCAGGAAAACAGAACGAATACAAATAAATAACTTGATGCTACACCTCAAACAGCTAGAAAAAGAAGAGCAAGTCAAGCCCAAAGCCAAAAGAAGAGAGGAAATTATAAAAATCAGAGCAGAAATCAATGCAATAGAGACTAAGAAAACAATCCAAAGAATCAACGAATCAAAGAGTTGGTTCTTTGAAAGAATAAATAAAATCGATAAGCCCCTAGCCAACCTTATTAAAAAAAGGAAAGAAAAAGCTCAAATTCATGCAATAAGAAATGAAAAAGGAGAAATCACTACAGATCCAATAGAAATACAGAGGATCATCAACACCTATTTCGAAAACCTCTACTCTCAAAAGTTTGATAACACAGAAGAAATAGACAGATTCTTAGAAGCATATGAAGTACCAAAGCTAGATCAAGAGGATATAAAACTGTTGAATAACCCAATCTCTGCTAATGAAATTGAGAATGTAATTGGGTCCTTGCCAACCAAGAAGAGCCCAGGCCCAGATGGATTCACTGCAGAATTCTACAAGAAATATAAAGAAGACCTAATGCCGACACTCCTCAAACTATTCAATGAAATTGAAAGGGAAGCAATCCTTCCTAAGTCATTCCTGGAAGCAAATATTACTCTAGTACCAAAACCTGAGAAAGACCCAACTATAAAAGAGAACTATAGACCGATCTCCCTAATGAACACAGATGCAAAAATCCTCAATATAATATTGGCAAATAGGATCCAGCAAATCATCAAGAAGATTATACACCATGACCAGGTGGGATTCATCCCAGGAATGCAAGGATGGTTCAACATACGCAAATCAATAAATGTAATCCACCATATCAATAAAGCCAAAAATAAGAATCACATGATCATCTCTATAGATGCAGAAAAAGCCTTCGATAAGGTCCAACACTTATTCATGATAAGAACTTTACAGAAAATTGGAATAAATGGTCTTTACCTCAATATAATAAAGGCCATTTATGACAAACCAACAGCCAGCATCATACTAAATGGCCAAAAATTGAAAGCCTTTACTTTAAAATCGGGTACAAGACAAGGATGTCCTTTATCACCACTCCTATTTAATATAGTACTGGAAGTACTAGCCAGAGCAATTAGGCAAGAAAGAGAAATAAAAGGGGTAAAGATAGGAAAAGAAGAAGTTAAATTATCATTGTTTGCAGATGACATGATACTCTACATAGAAGACCCCCTAAACTCCATTGAAATACTCTTAGATACAATAAATAAATTCAGTAATGTGGCTGGATACAAAATCAATACTCAGAAATCAATAGCATTCCTATACACGAACAACAAAATTACAGAGAGGGAAATAAGAGAAACTGGACTATTCACATTAGCAAGCAAAAAAATGAAATATTTAGGAATTACTCTTACGAAAGAAGTGAAAGACTTATACAGTGAAAATTATAATACACTGAAAAAGGAAATTGAAGATGATCTCAGAAAATGGAAAGACATCCCTTGCTCATGGATAGGAAGAACAAACATTGTGAAAATGGCCATTCTCCCAAAACTGTTATACAGATTCAATGCAATCCCAATAGAAATACCATCAACATACCTTATAGATCTAGAGAAATCACTCCTAAATTTCATCTGGAACCAGAAGAGACCTAGAATCGCAAAGGCAATTCTAAGCAGCAAAGACAAAGCAGGAGGCATCACAATCCCTGACTTGAAGTTATACTACAAAGCAACAGTAGTAAAATCAACATGGTATTGGAATCAAAACAGAGCTGAAGATCAGTGGAATAGATTAGAAGATACAACCACAACTACGAACACACTCAACCACCTTATTTTTGATAAAGGAGCCAAGCAGGTTGACTGGAAGAACGACAGTCTCTTTAATAAATGATGCTGGAAAAACTGGCTCTCCATTTGCCGAAAACTAAAGCTAGACCCATGTCTATCTCCATGTACTAAATTAAAATGTAAATGGGTCAAAGATCTGAATATTAAAACAGAAACACTAAATCTATTGGAAGACAAAATAGGTAGAAACCTTGGAGACATAGGAGTAGGTAAAGAATTCATGAACAGGACTCAAACCGCACGGGAAATACTTCCCAGAATCAATAACTGGGACCACTTCTTATTAAAAAGTTTCTGCATGTCAAAAGAAATCTCCAGCATAGTGAAAAGAAAACCCACAAACTGGGAAAAGATTTTAGTGAACTCTCTCTCAGACAAGGGCCTCTTGTCTAAAACATACAAAGAATTAAAGAAACTCAGACCTCCGAAATTCAAAGATCCAATCCAAAAATGGGCATCTGAGATGAATATGCAATTCTCAGATGAAGAAATGCAAATGGCAAATAAATACATGAAAAAATGCTCATCATCATTGGTCATTAGAGAAATGCAAATTAAAACCACACTGAGATACCATCTCACTCCTGAAAGAATGGCCAGGATCAAGAAAACCGACAACAAATGCTGGAGAGGCTGTGGGGAAAAAGGAACTCTCCTGCACTGCTGGTGGGAGTGTAGACTGGTACAGCCTTTGTGGAGATCTGTCTGGAGATTTCTCAAAAAGTTGGGACTGGAAATCCCATTTATTCCAGCTATTCCACTTCTAGGCATATTCCCAGAAGAACTGAAAGCATCATACCACAGTGATATATGTGCACCTATGTTTATAGCAGCACAATTTGTAATCGCCAGATCTTGGAAACAACCCAAGTGCCCATCAACTGAGGAATGGATAAAAAAGTTGTGGTATTTCTATACAATGGAGTATTATTCAGCTATAAAGAAGGATCACATTGAGATATTTATCAATAAATGGGCACAGCTTGAGACCATACTCATAAGTGAAATAAATCAATCTCACATGTGTGAATACCGAATAGTTTCCCTAACGTAAGTAATGATTCAAATATATAAAAATATGTGGTAATCATGATTCCCCATTAGGTGGCCTTGAAGCCTTATAAAGTTTTCACTCATTAATTAGAAAGGCTTTATTCTGGGCTTCTTGATATGAAAATATTTGAAGCTAGAGTATATGAAGTTTTACCCAAATATTTCAAGGAAAAAGACACTATGGTAACTACTATTAAGTCAGGTTATAAGGTGGTGAAGTACTAGGTTATTGAAACAGTCATGCTGTGACCTCTATTGTTATATTGTTATGTCCTGTTTTATCTTAATCTCCCCCTTATTGTTTCAAAAAAAATTATTTAGTCATTTCTTATGTTTGTCTTAATTAAAGAAAAAATTCAAAAAAATTAGGATATATAAATAGTAACACTTTTCGATTTCCTATTAACTTGTTTTGAAGTCCTGTAGTACTCCCACGATCTTGTTTTGACTGATTAGACTCTGTTCCATTCTATATGATAGTATCAAGTTTGAAGACATAGGCAACTACTTTGAAGACAATAAGATTCACTAAGATACCCATTCTGGTTTGACTATTGTCTTCTTTGGAAGTCCTGTAATGTTTACAATGCCTAAGTTTTATTGGTCTTGTTCTCTACTGTTTTGTCCAACTTTATAATATCTAATAAGATAGACAATTCTTTTTAAGGAAACAAGGGACAACGTTGATAACCATTGTTGATAAACTTGTACTCTGTTCTACACCATGTGCTATGTCTATCCTTGGTATTGACTGACAGCTTTGTTTTGCCATATTTGACTGTATTCTTCCCCCCCCCCAAAGAAAGTAATAAGCACTAAGGAGTAATAAAATCCAAGATGTGTAAATTTTGTTGTAAAAAAGAGAGGAAAAAAAAAAGAAAAAGAGCTCTAACGGATATAACAGCAAGTGTGTTTGGGGGTGTTAAATAGCTGACTTTATCAATGTTTTTGGAACATTGAACACAGCTGTTTGCAGTCTCCCTGTTTGAATGTCCACCTTGTGTTCTTTGATACTGTGATTTGAGGAACTATTTTCAAGAAAATAGTATGTAATCTACTAGCAGGTAATTTCTTACTGTTATGGTTTTTTGTTTTGTTTTGTTTTGTAGTTCTGTATTGCGTGTACCCTTACGCCGCTTTGGTTTGTTTTGTGTTTTTCTCTTTTTCCTCTTAAATAAAAAAAAAAATTCAACTGTAATTTAGATATAAGAATATCAATTTACCAGATCAGAAGTAATGCCTAATGTGAAATAGACAAACAAAAATCCATCTTATTACAACTACAGGAAGATTATTTCTATAGGCGTACAGTAACACACTCTATACAGAGGAAATCCCGTACAGTTCTCATCTAAAAATCTTCTGACTGCTTTACACATGGCTTTATTATTTTACATGGGAAACAGCTACCAATCTACTCCAAACCTTCCTTATAGCATTTTTCACATCCTTATTCCTAAAAGTATAAATCAGTGGGTTGAGCAATGGAGTTAGCATGGTGTAAAAAATGGCCACCATCTTGTCAAAGGAGAAGGCAGCTGGAGGTCGTGCATATGTAAAAATACATGGGATGAAGAACAAAACCACAACAGCAATGTGGGATCCGCAGGTGGACAGAGCCTTCCGCTGCCCTTCAGAACTGTGCTTCCTCAAGGAGAACAAGATGACACCATAGGAGACAAGCAACAAGGAGAATACGACAATGCAGAAAGACCCACTGTTGGCAACCACCAACAGGCCAAAGGTGTGTGTGTCAGTGCAGGCCAGCTTCAATAAAGGGTACAGATCACACAGGAAATGGTCAATGACATTGGGGCCACAAAAGGGGAGCTGGAAAGTGAAGAGAATTTGGATGATGGAATGCAGGAAGCCCCCTGTCCAGGCTACACCCATCAACATGCAACAGAGCTGCCTGGTCATGATGGACGAGTAGTGCAAGGGCTTGCAAATGGCCACATAGCGGTCATAGGCCATAGCAGTGAGGACAGTCATCTCCACCCCAGCAAGGAAGTGCTCAGCAAAGAGCTGCATCATGCAGCCTTCAAAGGAGATGGTTTTCCTTTCACAGAGGGAGTCAGAAATCATCTTAGGTATGATGATAGAAGAGACACAGATATCCAGGAAGGACAGGAAAGCCAAGAAGAAGTACATGGGGGAGCCCAGCAGGGCAGGGCTGCAGATGACAGTCACCACAATTAGCATGTTGCTCCCAACTGTTGCAGTGTAGACCAAAAAAAACACTGCAAATACCATTTTCTGAACTTTTGAATTCTGAGATAATCCCAGCAGGACAAACTCTGTCACAAAGCTGTGGTTTTGCATGATTTCCAAAATAAAGGTGAAAATTCATAAAACAATAATTTATGTAAATCTAAAAAGGATGATAAAAATTACTTCTAATAGGTTGGTTTCCAATAGCACAGTCTGCAGTACAGTCATACAAAATTATGGAAACTTTTTTTGAGTGTGTTTATCATCATTAAAAACAGAATTAGCTGAAGATCATGCAAAATTTGGGTGGAGACGAATTACTGAATATTTAAAAAGAATGAGCTGCTCAGTGTAGATGGAAGAGAACAATGCATGTGTGGCTAACAAGACAATTAGGTTTCTTTTTAGCTGTGACCTCAATCACTGTCTAGTGGCCTCTTGAGGTCGATTACTGAAAGGCACTCTGCAGCTACACTCACATTATAAATAAGGAAAATTGTTATTTATTAATCATTTCTACTGATGCCATAGAATACGGTGGGGACAGCTGGTCTAAGATCTGTCTAAGAGCACTGCCTTAACCACTGACAGAAGAGAAAAAGAGGTGGTTTATGAGCACTTCTTATTGCTTCTTATATCTCTAAAATACTGAGAAGGACTGGGCCTCTGTGTGTACTAACTCATTCTGTGTGAAAGAGTTCCCATGGGCAGAGCCTGGCTCTGGCTTGACTCAAAGATATTCTACTTTTATTTATTATTTTAAGGAGTGAACAGGAGTTAATAAAAATGTATCACAATGACTAAGTGAAGCAATGGGAGGAAAATCCCTGCCCAGGACCTGATGATTCCAGATCACTGTGTAAAGTTGTTATTATCACTGTTTTATTAGTGGGCAATTCAAGCCATCAGCTGCTTGGGGTTTGAACACAGAACTTCTGGTGTCAACAGTCACATTATTTTCACTGGATCAACAAGGAAAGGAGCAGAGATATGTTTCTTTTCCAGCAGCAATTTAACAGGAGAAGTGGTTTTTCCACACTCTCCCTCCATCTGTACGATGTATAGACTCTTGATTTTGAGGTTCATTTATGAAGGCGGCCCCTTGATGAAAGCAAGTGACGTGGAATCACAGTCATGGCCAATCCCAGCATAAGCAGATTGGGAGAAACTGCACATGGATGGGCAGGAAAACAGCAGGTCGAGCATACTTTAGAGTCTTCAGTCTTCATTATTCCAATTTTATATAAGGTAGCTCTGCAAGGACAAGTATAATTCTTAAGATGTACTATCTTATTATATAGCTACATTTTTTTAAGTTTGTGGTAAAACAGAAGTATTTGTTAACAATATAACTGTTTGTCTTCCTAAACTACACAAGGGTCTAATTTAAAATGTGAAAATATTACTCATGAGATAATGTCCTTAGCAATTGTAGTTATAAATAATCTTCTTAAAAACCCAGGTGCTTTATGAACAGAAAGCTTTTGCATGAGTTACTAGGTATATATGTCAACATCGAGTTCATTTTCCACAGGTATATGTGACATCAGTAAACCTATTAAATAGAGCAGTCAAATGCATTTTAGTGTATATTTTGGCAGACAAACATGCATATGTGTACTTCTTGTTCAAATTTAAATAAAAGATGTTCAGGTTTATTATAATAGTAATAAGGTAATATTTTATGACTGTCATTGAAAATTAAAAGAAGTACTATTACATACTTTATTTATTTATTCTGAGATTTTTGGAAACAATGTCTCATCATGTAGTGCAGGCTGGCCTCGAACTCCCTATCTAGCATGGGCAGGCTTTAAACTCACTGTGGTCCTCCTACCTCAGCTTCCTGAGTAAGGGCTTACAAGCCTCCATGCCTATCCTCAGGTTCATTACTTCCAGTGTTTGCACCATGAGTGATGTATCCACTCAGAAGCTAGCACCAATGTTTCAAAAATAAGAACAAACCCTGTAATTCATCCAATCAGAAAAGAACTACTTATTGTGTTCATCATTTGTGTTCACAATGCTTACAACTTTAACTCTTTTAAAAGGTAATTGCCCTAAATGTATCCTATTTTGTAGCAGTGAAATCTACGATGGCACAAAACAGTGGTGGAAAAATATTGGTAAGTGTAAATAAAATATGGTACATATTGAGAAGCATTCTTTGTGTGTTTATTACATAAATTTGACAAGTGAACTTGTGATCATATAAAGAGATAGCACCAAAGGCAACTAACTGAGTAATAAACTAGAAATCTTTATAGTGTCTTATTTCTGTAAATATAGCATTATTCCAGTAAAATGTTGAGTTGAAAGAAGATATTTTTAAAGATTCTACTATATGAAAACTATCATGTGCATCAGCAGCATCTAACAGCCATGCGTCACTGAACAAAGCATCACTCGCTGAGCTTTATTATCCTGGAAACAAGTAGAGTTGTTATGAACACCCTCTGAAAAGTGTAAGAGGAAGATAAATTCAAATGCCAGCATTATTTTAAGCAGTGTCAACATCACAAAGTAGGGAGAAAGTTTAAATTATTCATGAGAATTAAATATTTTATTTGTCATGCTTTTAAAAAATTCTAAAATTGCAATAATATTGATTCACTTCTACAATGTTTTGGAAAGCATTAGAAAAAAATCTTAGAATGAATAAAGACATTTTGATTTATCGTAGTAACCCTAACCTTGAATATTTAGTTTAAAAAATGAAGAGGTGGGACATGGTTTTCTATGTTTCTGCTGGTGCCCTTCCTGATGGAGACCTGAACCTCCTTTTTCGCTGCTATCTTGTGATTTAGCTCTTGCTAAAGGAGAGGGGCCAGCCACAACCATTAGCAGTAAAGCAGCACAGAGTTTCACCCACTTATGCTTTCCTGTCGGTGTGGAAGCAGGAACCCAATGCCCTTTAGGGTACCAAATGCACGTTAGGGAAAGTTGGGCGGACTTAATTCCATCAGAGGACTCCAGTGTGTGCTCTGAGCCACTCATCCTTGCCAGGGATGTCCTTCCCTCTGCCATCTGTTACTGTGTGGTTGTGATGACAGAAAATTTATATTCTATCAATCACTATCAATAAACACAAACTTCAGCACTCAAGTTCACCTTGGTCTTATATCAGTGTAGTTTATGCAGCTTCAAAACACTCTGCTTTTCAGCCTAATCATTGGAATGCAGAAATCTCTACAGGAGGGATGAGATATATTTAAGCACGACAAATAAAAATATCTTGTAGTGTTAATAGCAATATACACACTCATGATACTTCTAATATTTCATTTTAACCTGACAATAACAGAAATGACAATAATTTTAGTTTCTTTGGAGTTGAAAGGAAGAAATGTAGAAAGGAAAGAAGGAGGAAGGAAGGGTACATAAACGGAAAAGAGAGAAAGAAAGAACACAAAGGAGATAGAAGAAAGGAAGGAAAGAGGCACAAAGAAATGGAAAAAAGGAAAAGGGAGGGAGGTAAGGAGGAAGGTAGGAAGCAACACGGGGAGGGAGGAAAGAGGAAAAGTGAGGAAAAGAGTCAGAGAACCTGCCCCTGTGCCAACTGATGCCTGCTTATAAAGGTCAAGTGCTGTTCTCTGGGCTCCACATACATTATTTCTTCTCTTGCACTCATTGGTCTTGGTAGTAAAACCCTCATTAAAAATAAAGAGTCTGAGAGTGAAAAACCTGTAATCAGCTTAATTGCCCAGGATTCAGAGGAAGGACCAAGAATTTCATTAAACATCATGGCCTAACCATAACACACACACTGTGCAACAATGAAAATTGCAGATCTTACCGCAAACACCATTTTAGTGTTTGGTCCAAACATCAGGCTTGCATCCAGCATGTCGTCTTCATCTGAAAGGAAGAGGAGGTGATCAGAGTAGGAGATGCTCCCCCTGCTGCTGATGCACCGCCTCCAGCCAAGCTCAGCAAAGTGGCCTCCTTGTTTACAAAGTGCAGTTTAAGGAGGTTTCACAGAGAGGGTCTGAGCATGTGCAGTTGCTTCTACCCTCCCAGGACTTGGAAATTACCATCAAGAGGGTAGCAGTGTGTGTGTGTGTGTGTGTGTGTGTCTGTCTGTCTGTCTGTCTGTCTGTCCGTCTGTCTGTCTTTGTGTGTGCACCTATTCAAAGTTTATAAACTTTCATGTCCCTAAATAACACCTTAAATGATAAAAAATCATCCATCAATCCTTAAGGACAGTATCTATGGTTTTGGGTAACAGTGTAGCAACAAGTACTTATTAAATAAAAGCATTTCATATAAGGCAAACATTAATTGAAGTGTTATTTTTTTCTCAAAAAGTAAGTTGAAAAATGTATGACTTGAAAACTAAACTTGCAATTTCTGGAGATTAAAGAGATTTCTTTCTTTCTTTTATCTAGAAGATGACAGATCTGTTTAACTTGGAGAAAAACTTGAGCTCAGCACCTCAGACTTCTTAAGAAAGAGCCCAAAACAAGAAAGTTTAAAATAGAGCTTTAAAATTTTGAATTCTGAAAAATAACCTGTTACCCAGGTTTTCACATTTTGAAATGAAAACTTTCACCGCCAGCCTTGGCACCTAGAAATGTTCAACAGAACCAGATTTCAAGGATTCCTGGGTGTATGCTAAGGCCAAAATCTAGCTGAATCACTATCTGCGTATTACCTGACTTTTGCTATTTTCCTTCTCTAAGTTACACTCTTTCCTCAGATTATCTGTCCTCTTAGTTTGGTGTAGTTGTGAATAAGCTCTTTTTTTCCATTTTTTGTTCATCTTTCCCTTACATTTGATGGGAGGCTCCTACATCGATCCAAATATTTGAGTCCCAGATACACGGCTCTGGCCAGGACCCAATGACAGGCCCAAATCAAACAACCTGCTGTTCATGCAGCCTTTAAAACTTGTGTCCTCACTACTTTTAGGTCTATACTCACAGAAAAATGCAAAACTGAAGTGCTTCCTTATAAAAGCAACCCCAAAGCTCATCAGAATTAAGAGAGAAACACTATCTATTTTTAAGTACATTGCAAAATATAATTACATGTTCACTGGATAGAGACCAAGGAGCCCTCCAAAGAGAATGCTGCGCCTCCACTCACCACACCCAACAACAGATTGCTGGTTC